TTTCCACGAGATGAAACGCTAGCTTCACATACACCTTAATTGGTAATTAAGGCAAGATCCGGTGTGGTTAAAGAAATGGGTCGAGGCCCCACCGAATATCATTAAGGCCCAAGAGATGTTCAAGCCAACAGTAAAGATCCAATAAAAATAGGTCCCAACGAGGTTGATACTCGTTTCCCTCTTGGAATCCAATAACCGCTGGGAATCAGATTGTACATCTCTGATTATTTGCAATCAATTTGTTCCTAAATTCTTAGTAGGATTTTCATTAAAGTAAGAGATTTTCGTTTCCCAATTATTCACAAACAGTTCTTTTTAGAACTATTTTATCCATCAACTTACTTGAGTATCTCTTCCATCATTTGTTTCCATAATTTTCGTTATTATTTATCAAGACTATTATTGGAGACTATCAGATAGTCCTCTCCAAGTTCAAGAAATTTTGTCCCATTAGTTATCTTAATAGATCCCCTCGAATTCGAGACATTTCAAGGGTAAAAACGTGTATACTCGATTACTTATATTCCGTCGACTTACATACCCCATAACTCTTTTCCATGACTTCCTGAAGGTTCGGGCCCATAAGGACTTTTGATCGGGGGGTCATAAGCTAAAAAATCCTAAAGTTTGGAGAAATTTGACCGGTGCCCAGATTTCCAATGTTTGTGTGCGTGGTCCTTTAAAAAATCAAGACTTACCTTATAACCTTGATCACGCAAAACTTGTACTGCTTGGTGTAAAGGGTTGTGAGGAGGAAAGTCCGCCTCCTCAACTTCGGTACGTGCTGAATGTTCTTTATACGGGCCAATAAGGCAATACTGATCGCCCATTTCTTCAGTCGAGACATAAGTTTTAGATCTTATTACCGTATAGATGCCACCAACTGTAAATGAGATCAATACAATTACATTACGAATACATCATAGAGATCTATATATGTATATACAGGGTGGTTCAGGAGGAAAGGTCAATATTTTGGGAGGTGATAGTATCGGTCATTTTGAGCAAAAATGTTCGTATGAATATATGTCCTATTCCCCACTGTTTCCGAGATGGAGCTACTTGAATGTACCATTACAAAATTACTGACAATAAAGAAATACTACGTACTATTTCTAATATTTATTGTTTAAGTGATTTTTTACAGATTATAATAAATTTTCAACAATTCCACCATTAACATTAATGCATTTTTCAACTCTTGTGCGAACATGGCGTGTTGCTCGTCTGAATACATTGCGACGTTCCTTTATGCGGGCACTAGCATTCGTTATTTGAGCGAGCAGTTCGTCTCGTGTATTCACTTTTCTTCTGTAGACTTCATTCTTCATCCAACTCCGTAAATAAAAATTCAACGGGCTTAGGTCTAGAGATCTTGGTGGCCAATTAATGGCACTGCCACGACCAATCCACCGATTAGAGAAAGTGGCGTTGAGAGCAACACGCCATGCACAAGAGTTGAAAAATGCATTAATGTTAATGTGTGATTTTTGAAAGTTTATTATAATTTGTAAAAAATCACTCGAACAATAAATATTAGAAATAGTATGTAGTATCTCTTTATTGTCAGTAATTTTGCAATTGTACATTCAAGTAGCTCTATCTCGGAAACAGTGGGGAATAGAACATATATTCATATGAACATTTTTGCTCAAAATGACCGATACTATCACCTCCCAAAATATTGACCTTTCCTCCTGAATCACCCGTCTATACATGTACAGTGCCAGCCAAAATTATATCACCTTTAGATTTTCTGAGCGTAACTTTCGTCAAAATACATCGAATGTACTTGAAATTTTACAGTAGACACCTGATACAAGTGCATCTTATATGTACTAGAAATCACGGATGCCTTTCCATGAATCTAGGCACAGGTAGAACACATATACGTTTTCCATGTATGTATATGCAAAATGTATAAATGTGTTAACATGTGCCTAAATTCATATAGGAAGGCATCAGTGATTTCCAGGCCCATATTTATAGTCGTTTTTCAATTCTCGTCTCAAGAGTGTATCAGATGAAATACTCGGATTGGAGTTTTACGTCTTGAGATACAGACGGTTCAATAGTTACATTTTGATTAAAGATCAGCTGAAGATGTGCTCAGCTGAAAAGGGGATCCATTACTCAGCTGAAATTTGTCTTGAGAGTCAAAACAACGATTAAGGTCCAGTTTCACAAACGTCGGTTAACTGTTAACCAGAGTTCAGTAGACTTCCTATCTTTCTCTATCTTGTTATCCAAGAAGAGACAGAGGATCAATTAACCTTCGGTTAGACGTTGAACGACGTTTGTGAAACTGGCCCTAAAGTGGCGATAAGTAGTGAGTGATATGCAATTTTTCTCGACCCAAATTTTAGATGATACGAAAATTATCTTCTAAAACTTCCTTTGAGAATCTCTATTGAATCGAGATTACAAACAAATATTGAGTAAACATTTTATATCAAACTGAGTCTCTCTATTAAATAGTACCATGTCTCGAGACTGGGGCCGTGTTCCGTTTCACGCATGATACGCATAATGCATCATTTATCTTTCTTTAACATTTGCCGAATAACAAGGATAAACGATGCATCATGCGCATCATGCGTGAAACGGAACGCACCCTGGGTTTAGCTGAGTTTTTCAGCAGAATCACGACTATAAATACGGGCCCTAGCGTACGTACACGAAGGTAATAAAATTGGACAAAATACACCATGATTTTCGAATTTTTCATTCGTGCACTTTAAAACTATACTATTTAGTCAACTTAACTCGATGTAATGACTTATCTGGCATCTATTATAAAGGTCACAACGACGCGAATTGCGATCCTCTTCAGGTTATATAATAAGACATATGACAAAAGTAGGTCGACTAATGTGGAAGCATTCAGTTATATCTACAACTAACAATGAATAATATTGTAGAACAGATTATAACAGATTACACATAAAAAGTAAAAAACTTACATGTCGGTTCATTAATTATGAAGGTAAAATATACTAGTTAGGCTCAAAAATCAAAAGGTAATATAATTTTGGTCGGTACTATACATATACAGTATGCTACATAATTGCACCTTTATTGGCTGCTTCCCAGGCAACTTCAAAGTTCCACCGATTTTCATGCTGAGCCGAGTAGCCACGATCCATGAACTCGAACAAATCGTTGGTGCTGTCCACACGATAAAATCTTCTGGAGGCACGTTCTCTTGACATCTTGTAAACTGTCCTGCAATGCCCAACAATTTGATTTCAACAAATTTAATCAAATTGATTGACCTATTGAATTTTTCCATTAACAAAGTATACAATATATATAGTATAAATAAATAAATACACACACAATATTAACATTAATATATATTTATTTCAACTTTAAACGTTTAAAGAAATTAACTGAAATAAACAAAATCTTTATACAAATTCACACATAACATCTTCAAGTTTTAATACTCCTCCCTCAAGATGTTCCAGCTATGACATACATTTACTGTTCATTTATAGTTGCACTTTAAAGTGCAAATTAATTAATTAATTAATTAATTTTTAATTCAATGGTATATTTAGCCTCTACGAGCGACCGAGTTATGAAAGAAAAAACTCGAGCCATATGGCTATTTATCTTCACCTTATGGGTCAATAACATTTTTTATCGCGTGACATTATCATATCTAATCGGTCTATGTCTTTTCTTGCAGATCTACGCGCTCGTTCGAAAACGTGAAGTCGCGAAAGATCTCGCTCTCGCACCGAATCGAACAGTACACAATACACGGCGTGCACATGCGTGTAACTCGCGTATATTTCTCTGAAGAATGCGACAAATTTCTGTCTCTCCTCGCCTCTGCTCAACCTTATTCGTTCCCGAGTTGAGTTACGTGACACAGGACACACGGGCCACGTTCACGAGGATTTTAAGCCGCCAGATATCATAGAGTACTTGAAGACCAATGACGATCGTGAATTACCGATCTCGCGATAATTGGATCAAGAAAGTAACACGTGCTTCACAGCTCCTGCTTTCTCGTACTTACGTTAACGCTGTCTCTCGCGTACGAGACGGTGGAGAGGACGGTGGAACTCTCGGAGTAACTTTGATCGATTATCCCCTGGCGCGACACGGTCAGGTTCAAGCGAAAGTCACCACGTACCACGCGCAAGGTCAACGAGAGACTCGGCGTTCGCACGCGCGTACTTCGAATGGTCATAAAAATAGCCGCCTGATAAGCGCATGCTATTCGCTGCCCCGTCGCTCTTGCAACGACGCCGAGACCCCACCAGATCGCAGGGACTCTCATGCGAGGCGCTGGATTAGACCCTGTCTTGCTGGTCCGCGATTAGAACGTGAGGTTGATTTCGATCCCACCACGTGATTTACAAAATCACGTGGAACGAGGTCTATTTATAATGGTTGGTGGTCGTGGCTTTACAGTTGGAATTAACAGCGGAATTGACGTTTCTCTTGTACTTCAATTTCATCGTGGTGTAAACTACGAGTCCACTTAATTATGGGTCGGAGCACAAAGCGACGAAATAGCTTACGACAAGACGTAAATCATAAACGTATAATCCCGGTAAAGAATTTCTCATGTATAAACATGAATAAATATTATAGAATTATATAAAAATATATGGTACATAAAAAAATATGTTCATGCACATTTTTACATTGAATATTTCCATATAACTTTATACAATTCTACACAGTTCTGTGTATTTTTATAGATTCCCAGATAGCACAGGCCCAGGTAGAACACAAAATCATAAAAATCATTATGACGTCATTCGATACACTTTTTATGATGATTTTGTGATAAGTTCTTGATGTAGAAATTATTTTTAAGTGATTTTTAACTAGAAATCACTATAGAAATCACTTAAAAATCATTTCTACATCAAGAATTTATCACAAAATCATCATAAAAAGTGTATCGAATGACGTCATAATGATTTTTATGATTTTGTGTTCTACCTGGGGGATGTCCTGTGGACGTCCAGTTTAAGTCCAATTTACGTCCGAACGTCCGTGGACGTGAAATGGACATTTAACGGATGTCTGTTGTCGTACCTTGAACGGATATCCTTTACGGGACATCTTATGGACATCTAATTTTTGTCCACGTTTGGGCTTTAGTTTTATCATCTTTAGATATATTTATTTTAGCATATTTAGATACATTTGCAAATTTTTATTACGTAAAACGTTGATTAAAAAACTTTTATTAAACATTTAAAAAACATTCATTTTATGTTTAAAATCCATATGTTGAATAAACGGTTAAAAAATGTTTATTTTATACTTATTTTACATTTATTACATATTGATTAGTCATTTGCGACATATATGTATATAAAAAATATTTTTTACATGGTTTTTATTTTAGGTTATTTCACAATTATTTTATATTAATTACTATATTAATATTATAATAAAAAACGTTAATTAATAAAACAGTTTTTTACATTTAATAGTTAAATATTCGTTGTACAATAAAACCATAGAAAGCAATAAACATGGACAATGTAAAATAAATATTAAATAATATAAATGAAATGTAAGATATAATTTTACAAAGTTATCTCTCTCTCTCTCTCTCTCTCTCTCTCTCTCTCTCTCTCTCTCTCTCTCTCTCTCTCCCTCCCTCCCTCTTTCACTAAATATCGTTGTTTTCTTGCTCTTTTTCCTTTCCTCTTTCTTTGATTATAAATAAAAAATTGTATATTGGCATATAAATTGTACTCGGCTATAAAACATTTTTAAATAAAAAACAACTAAATATTCATAAACGGGAAGTATATGCTTTAACAATTACAAAGATTAACAATAAGTAACAATTTAATTTTTTTAGATTAATTTTACAAATTAAATTGTCATTTACTGTTAATTTTTGTAAATCTACCCCGCTGAAAACAAATAAAAATTAAAATGCTGGAAAAAGTCTAGAAAACCTGGAAAAGTCAAGGAAATATAGAACTTCATTTTGCTAGACACCACGTTAAAATTATATAAATCAATAAAATAAAATAAAAATAAATTAAATAAGTAAAAAATTAATATAATATGTATAACAGAGATAAATATAATCTAACTATATATATAATATAAATATATCTTTAATATAAATATATAATATACTAAGTATGACAAGATATAAATACAATGAAATAAATTGGTTA